ACCGCCTTTATTTCAATTCATATCACAGTTTAAATCCTGTTTGTTATTAAGGAAAAATTGAATCCATATTCGTTGAGATTTGTAAAAGCAAAGCGACACTCAATTATGCTTAATCATTATTTCAAATTATTTAAATTATTTTTTTTCAAGTCTTCACCATTACTGGTTGAATTCGCTCCGCTGGCTTGTCGCATTGGACAAATACGCCAGGAAATATGTTTTTTGGCGATAGAAATACAAATGAATCGTCAGCATTATCCGGATTTTTGAATAGGTCTTCTCCTACGGAGAAAAGAACCTTAGTACTGGCGTTCCGAATTCAGCAACAATCCACCAAGTCATCCGATGCCCATTAAAATTATTATTTGCAGTTGAATAAAAAAATTCATCATAATTGCTATTTAGAACGATGCAAGAGATTATTGTTAAACTCGCGCAATAAATTTCTCATTTAATAAATTACGTGTTAAAATTTTTTAAATGATGAAATAACAAATATATGCCCTGAGGGATTCACTGGAAATAATATTTCCCCCTTTTACAACTTATTGTTCCACCTTTAATTTGCTTAATACTTTTTCCTTTGTCTAGACGATTTATTTCTTTAAAAAACTGTTAAAGAAATTAATTATTTCCAATATTTCTATAGCAAATAATTCTTATTGTCCTGTTGAATCTATTGATTGTGGTACTCTAAATTTATTAATTATAATACTATAAGTGGAATTCACTCGATTTTTAAAATTTTTTTATAGTTTTATGATGCATTATAGGTATATAATACATTATAGAAATGTATCATAGGTTTATAACATCGTTTTTTAATGATTCTATACCTTCTTTTATATACTTGGCAAAACTTATTATTTATTGAAAACTGTCAGAAGAAATTTGCCTACCAATTTCTAAATGTTATATAAAATGTAGTCCACGAATTGAAGAGGTGTTATATTTTAACAGATGTCTGCGTTTTTATTCATTAATCTATTTCTTAAATAAGGCAAATGAGTCTCATTAAAACAAGAATTTTTAAAATTATCCTATAAGAAGATATTTGTGAAGATATTTAGAAACTAATTAGTGTCGACTGTGGCACAAAAAAATGAAGACTAAATTCTACTAAGTTTTTCTAAGGTATTTCCTTCGAAAATTAAATTTATAAGTTTTATTTTAGTAGAAACTAATTAGAAAATAAAATTTGGAAAAGCAGAAAAAATTTTCACATATTCAATATGAAAATTCTTCTTCTACTTCGAGCAACTCATCATTATCGGTTGGGTTGATTGCGCTGACCACAAAAGAAAGATTCAACTATTCGATCCGACGCCATCTTTGACAATGGTAAAAGGCATTCATTTTCATCTAGGCATATCCCTGGCTCTCCTATTCCTAACTGTATAAGTCGAGGTCTTGATTGGCCAACCTCGCTTTTGATACCATCTATTAAGGATTTAATAAATAACGAAATTTGAGTGAGCGACGAAGGACGTTACCAGCAATAAAAGCGGCGAATGAATGATGGTACTTTCAATGCCAGTTATATTTGAACGAAGATGGATGCATTAATATGAGATTTTATCCACTCGGCGGACGCACAAAGTTTTTAGTTTTAGAGAATCATTGACAGAAACGCTTATCATTTGAATTTAGCAGTTTTTGTTTTCATTTCTCCTATTTTTTATATTTATATTAATAGATTTTTTATTTAATTCAATATAAATTTATTCCCGAAGATTTCTGGAAAATAGATGATAAAATATAATGCAAAAATCGACACTATGAATCTAATGATTTTTCAAAATGTACTTGTAAATGAGGTTTCAGATGAAAATTTTCAATTTTTTTCTTTTTTTTTAGATTTTTTTTCTTTTAAAATTTCATTGTGACAAATTCATTTTTGATATTTTTTGCGCAATTCCTTTTTAAACAAACAGTGATCAAAAATTTTCACAATTTATGCATTTAAAAATCAGAAGACAAATAAATAAATTAAAATTTATAATATTAAATTCAATATCAAATTTCACTCTAAAATAATATCATTGATAAGGAAATTTAGTCAAAATTTAGTGTAGAAAGCAGAAATTATCACCTAAATCATATCGAATGAAATCTATTCGATTCTTTCAGGCGAAATAGTAACCAAATATTTAATTCACCAAAAGAAATGGGATGAAATTTTCTTTAGAATCAAAATTCCTTGGTACAAAACAACTAATAAATATCTAACATTAAATATTTGGAAAAACTGAGGATATTCATCGAAGCGCTACAAAAGACAATCTTATAAATCGACTAATCTAAGCTTATAAAAAATTTTTTTATGAAAAAAAGCACCACGAAATTATTTTTATTTAGCAAAATAATTAATTAAATTAATTATAAAAATAAAATTAAATAAAAATTATTAATAAAATTTAAAAATTAAAATTTTTTTCTATCATAGAATCGTTCATTTTTATTCGATTATTACTCCTCTGCAAATCAAACAAAAGCTGTTTCACTCACTTCTTGCAAAACATTTAATAGTTAAGCGTTCGTGACAAAAAATTAATTAATTTAGCGAATAATAATCAAAAAATAAATCATTTTTTCATTGTTGTGAATTCATTTGTCTAAACAGTTGGAATAGTTAGAAAAAAAATGAACAGTAAAAAAATTTCGAAATTTATGAAAACCATAAATTTAAAAAGAAAAAAATTTTTCTTAAAAAAATTGATTGAAAATTTCTTCACAAATTTTCTTGTTTCCTTAAATATTCAAAGAGATCTACGAAATGAAAATAAGGAAAATTTCAAAAAATCGGCCGAAAGAATTTTTTATTATTTTATTTTTATAATAAAAAAATATAAAAATAATAATAAATAAATATTTTCGCTTTAGGAAATCATTTAATATTTACCAAAATATTTACCAAAAACAATCCTTTAAGAAATTATAGGAATATTGAAATAAATGCAAATCATAAATGAATTATTCTAAGCATAATTTTTTTTGAGAGGAATTTATTCCTTTCATTAAAGAATAAAGTAAAATTTTTAGGACTCTTGAAGAAAAAGAAAAAATAATTCTATAACATAGAAATAAATATAAGATAGACTTTATAGACTTTTCTCTTCATTTTTTCTTGTGGATGGTTCATGGTCATCCTCAATCTCAGGCCATTTACCAAAGGTCTAAAAGATTGTGAAATCTGCACAGTATCTTAAGTGTTACCTATAGTGTGCTCTTCTGGACAGAGATCTCTGATGTTGTTTCTGGAATCTGCTGAAGCCACTCCTTTTATTTTAAGGGACATCACTGATAATTTTGATTTCCATAATATATTTGTATTATTTATTATTTTTTATTATGATTTTATAAATGATTTTAAATGATTTTATTTCATATGATGATAGATTTTAATCGTTCAATTATATCCTCAAAAAGTGTCAACGCACTATTTTTTTTTAATTTTAAGATTTTATATAATTTAATTAGTTAAAATAATTTTAATTCTAAAATTTAAAGTTATTAAATTTTTTATCACAAGAAAATAATTCAACGAATTCAAACAATAAAAAATTATCACAAAATTTGAAACTACTAATCAAATTAAAATTTTAAATAAAATTTCAAAAAGTCGAAAAAAAACTAAAAGTTTTAATAAATTGAAATAATTTGAGAAAAAAATTTATGCTATTTAAATAATTAGATTTCAAACATTTGTATATAAAATTTTCTATAACAGTTGTATCGCCAATTATCGTTGTAAAAATCATGCAAAAAAATTTTCTATTAGAATATAGGGACTAAAAAAATATAGCCAAGTGGTGATGCACTATTTGCATCAAAATTCTATTCTTGCTTTCGATAGAATTCTTCTTCTCCTCTCACCATTACTGGTTAGGCTGGGTAACACTTTACAAGAGTAAGACGTCTTTAATCTGCCCGGTCCGACGCCATCGCTAGTAATAATAGAAGCCATTCCTTTTTCCATCGTCTAAGTCCATTTATTGCTGGTCCCCCTATACGTTCAAAACCTTTCCTGACTGTATCGGTCCAGGTCTTGACTGGTCCTCCTCGCTTTTGACGCCCACCATAGAATTAGGTATTGCCAACTCATATCACGACTGAATGCACAGCATTAGATAGTAATGTATACATATAAAACTGAAAGATTTGAGTACCTAAATAGTCCTTCGATTATCATTGAGATTTCTATGCAAAATTTTTTAATTTTTAACCTTCAATAAATTTGCAACAAATACCTCCAAATTAATTCAAGCATAACTTAAATTCTATTTGAAACAAAATCAAACTTTTCCCGGATTTTTTCCAGGATCGAGCGAATTTAATGATAAATATGGAATGAAAAAATGTTATCCAAATTCATTTATTTTAAAAATAAATTTTTTAAATACTTTTTTTTTATATCAAAAATTCAAAAAATACTTTTTAATTCTCAGTTGATTGATGAAAAATTTTCAATAAATTTCTTATAAAGAAAGAAGCCTTTCATTTAAAAAAATAATTTAATTTTTACCATTTATAAAGAAAGAAACCTTTTGTTTAAAAAATTTATAATTTAATTTTTATCATCGTTGGCTTTTTTTAATGTTATATTTTTAACAACTATTGCCTTCTAATGGTTAATTCAACATGAAATAATAATATTTTTAGATATAAATTCATTCAGTGCTATGACAACACTTTATTAATCATGTCGTGCTCATCCAATTCGAATAAACTGAACACTTGAAAACACGAAATGTAAATTAATATCAATTTATATCGATATCAATTTATCAAATAAATTTCTGCACCTCATAAAAAAATATAAGTATTGGATATAATTTTGAACTAAACATATACTATTCATATACTATTAGTGAAAAAATGAAAAGAATATTTGACTGATTTTGAAAAATAAATAATTATAAAGAAGAAGAACAACAACAAATACTTAAATAACCGTATATGAATGTGCACATCATAAGTTATAACAAATGAAAAACAGATCAACAACTGATTTCAGCGATTCTCATTAAATCATTGAGTTTATCTTCTTGCATCCACAAAAGAAAATTTTGAATGCGATCATTCATTAAATGTTCCAATTGTTCATTGCATTTACTATTTAAATACTAAAAATTTCGAAATATCAAAATCGAGACAAAAATATAATTATTATCTTCAAAAAACTGGAAAAATTAAGCTTTGTCCAGCTCGATATAACAAAATATGAAAAAAAAGACTGATATTATTATTCATTTATGTTTTATCTAAAAAGCAAAAACCAAAAAAATATAATTGCTATAATAAACGAAATGAAATTATAATTTCATAAATTTTAAAAATCAAAAAATTCATTAAGAACTAACTTCTATTTGTTTATTATTAAATTGATAGCAAAGAATGGCTTTACATAAATGCCAAAAATCAAAATCTGGCCAAAGCGCATCTTCAAAATGAACATAACAATTCGAACTCTAAAAATAATATATAATTAAAAAATTCGGCAACTCGAGGTTATGCTCGAAGTAATAATGTTAAAGTTAAATGAAACGTTAAAAAAAAAATCAAAGGAATTTCTCCTGAAACAATTTTATTTGATTTGTTTTTAGCCCTTTTTTCATAAACACGAAAAAAGATACAAGAATTGCGAAAAAAAAAATTAAAAAATACAACTTATTATCCATGAACACCAGTCAGAATTAGAATAAAGTAGTAGTGTATTTTAGTGTATTTTTTATTAAATAGTACAATATTTCAAAGCAAACCTGCCATAAAAGAAAATCGCTTAGCCTTTTTTCTCCACTGGTTCGAATTAATAAATCTAGTTTGCGCGAATTTCGACTATCCAAACATTGAGATATTAAACCATAGTTTATATCATTCTCCGTTAATAATCCTTAATTTCTACCAGGATTTTATAATCATATGGAACAAAATGAATTAATTATGAATTAAATATGAATTAAATAATAAGAAATCAAATTTTTATCAACCTTTTTCGATGCCTTTACTAATATATACAATAGCACGCTTCATTTCATCTTGTGCCGTATAAGCTATACATACGTTAATTGCACTCCTGCAATTTTCATATTTAAATATATTCTCAGAAAAAACATAAAGAATGAACAGCACATTGGTGATAAGGGAACGGTAAAATCAAGAGCATCAGCCAAATATTAATTTTCAGATAATTTTCACTTAAATAGGCAGCCGAAATTAGAGACAATTGCAAATCATTGATGAAAGACCAAAGGAGATTTTTCCAACGAAGGATGAAGAGGATTTCTCTACTGCTGCACGTATATAAGTGAAAAGTAAAGAACACCAGTGAATCATATATAAAAAATGCTAAAAATTTATTCAAAATGGGATATTTTTGAACATATCTAATATCTAATTGGATATCTAATTTTAATAATTTCTGTATTTTGAATATCGTGGAACTAAAGAACTAAATATTCTTAAAAGTTATTCCTTAAAAGTTTACCTAATTTCTAATTTTCCAATTTTTTAAAATCAAACATATGATGATAAATAAATAAATAAATAGTAAATGAATAATAATGTTCTATGATTTTGGAAGTTTTTTCATAATGATTAGATTTATTGATAAAAATATTGATAAAAATACTTCGTAAAATCCTTTGTGAATAATTCCAATTGAGCAGTTAATTTCTGAATTTTCAAAGGTAAATACGATTTTTCACCAAAGAAACGAAAAGCCACTTGTTTTTCAACCAACATTTCTCTTAATGTCGAATATAATATAATATTATATTAATATTTTGATTAAAAAGCTGGTAAAACAAATTTAAATACCACTTTAAAAATTTATTTTCTTGATTATGAGATAGAGTTAAAGAGATTTACAAAAATAAAATTTGTAATAAATAAATAAATAAAATAAAAATACTCAAATAACCTTTCTTGTAAAATTTGGATAAGTTTTTGTTCGAAAAGCGCCATTAATCCATTGATTTCATCTTCGCTTCTTTTAAAATTTTCGATGCTAAATGCATACACAGTTAATTCTTTCACGGCAAAATCTGCACACCATTCTATTATCTATAATTTTATTTTCAAATATTCGTTTTTTAATTAGAATAATTTTTAGTTACTATTAATTATTTATTAATTATTTAATAATTATTATTTTTAATTATTCACTAAAAAAGAAAACTTTAATTTTGGCTAACAATAATTTACAAAAAATAATTGCAATAAATTCGGTGAATTGAAAAAATAATAATAATTATTAAATAATAATTAAAAAATAATAATTATTAAATATTACGTAAGAAGTTAATAATTTTAAAAAAATATTGCAAAATAAACCTTTGTAAGCTGATCGAAACCTTTGGAATGCCCGATTAAGCTATTCTGAAAACCACAATACCGTGCGTATCGCCGATTACCATCCATAATAAATGCAATATGTTTAGGTATTGGTCCTAGCCCAATAATATACCTCATCGGTTTATGCCACCATGGTCGATTCAGTTTTGATGGGAACAAGCCAGACTGATCCAACATGCAGAAGAAAGAAAAAAATCTGAAACTCTGAAATGATTAGCTCTTTGTACCGACATAACGCTCGAAATTCGATTAGCAAATGAGTACCAAGCTTATCTAATTTTGATTATTTACTCTTCTAGGTCTTTTAATAAATTATCATTTAAAAACCAACGAGCCAAAAATTATTTTAATTAAAAAAATCTGAAAAAAAAACCATCCAACAAATCCTTTCTCACTATCTTTTCGATCTATAGTCAAAAAAAAAAAAACTTGCCGAAATCTTAACAATAAGAATAATACTTTCTAATAATAGCTGTTATTCTAAAATTGATAAAATTTTCTTTCATAAAAAAAGCAAGAAATAAACAAAAAAGTTTAAGAAAAACTATTGATAACAAATGTGCAAAGTTGATAAAATCAAATATAAGCCAAGATTAGAGTGGCTTTAAAATATTTAAAATCGGCGTACTTCCCCAACGGGCAATGAATTCATAAAAAGGGGCATTTTATCAGCTTCTTGCACATAAGACGAAAAGACTTTCGTTTTATTTACAATTACCATCAATCCGATATATAGGAATAATGCAGAATATATTCTTCCAAGACCAGAAGAGAGATTCTATCGAAAATCGTGGAGAATAATTAAGGCCAAAATCTTGTTGGACTTCCTCGAACCGAAGAAAAAGTATACTTGGCTAATCAAATAATCGTAGAAGTTGACAAAAGAAAATAAAAAACTAAAAAACTGATAAGGAACGACGAAAATAGATGATAAATAAGTGATAATAAGTGATAAATTTGAATCAACGATAAGTACCGAACTTCAATAAATTCTAAAAATTCGGTTAGGTTTATTTTTAAAACTACAAAAAATATCTCCAACTAGTCTAAAATCTAAAATGGTTGAAACTTTACAATTCGAAAGTTTCCAAGCAGTTTGGAAAATTACATGTCGGAATCCGAAAGATAGCAATACTACAAAGCAGTGCAGATAGAAAAGAAAATGGAAAAAATAACTATATTTGGTAAGATTTTTGGGGATGGATGATATGTTGTTTCGACTTCGACATTTTCGTAGATTTATAGGATCATTCCTTTTACCAAAATGATAACAGCGAAATTAAGATGGTGATAATGGCCTGCCAAGCTGTAATTCTTTCTCCAAGGGATGTTCTTGTCTTATCTTATAAGCTTATCAACTCCTAGCATCTCCAGTGATGTTTATCATCTCTATCGAGAATGAAAAATTTCAAATATTTTCGAAACAAGCCAACTTACTCGATCATGATTTGAAAATAGTGAAAAATAGATGATCAGCTATTCTTTATCTATAAATATTTAATCAGCGAATGAAACATTTCTATTGGTACCACACTTTTTTTTAAAAGTCCTCACCACTACTCGTTAAACTCGCTCCGACTTGTCACATTGGGCAAATATGCCAGGGAGTCCCTTGGCGCTAGAAGCACAGGTGACTCTCCAGCATCACTCGAATTTTTGGATAAGTTTACTCCCACGGGAAATCGAACCTCAGCATTGGCGCCCCAAATTTAGCCAAAACCCACTGAGCCATTATATCCCACACTGGTAATATATTACTCGTGCTTAATTTCATTTATGGATCTTTCTGGAAAAGGCTTTTGGCTATCTTTTCTACAATTATTTTCATAAAAACTTGGCAAAATTCTATAAATCATAGGTATGAACAGTTAACAAAATTAGCTAAATTCAGAAAATAGAATCAGCAATAAATCTTTTTTTTTTCTCTATAAAGATCTTTTAAATTTCTTAATAGATCGTCAGTTATCAGTTATCTCTTATCAGTTAAGAATCTTTGAATTAAAATTATTTTTAAAAAACCATACTTATCATATTGAAAAGTCGAAAAAAAATCTCTTTGAACGAAGCATCGTTAGATTAAGATTTATATAATTAAGAAATTTTCCGACGATAACATTAATACAAAAAATTTCGTAAGAAATTTGCTTAAATTAAATTAAACTAATGATAACATATCAGTAGAAAGTATAGTCAACGAAAGTGGCACTGATGTGATGTTTGCAACTAACCCTCTGGTGAATTTCACCTCACCTCATTAATAATGATGATAAGCTTTTTGCAAGTGGCATTCTGGTGAAGAGATTTCACCTCAGCTCAATAATAAATATGGCATCAGAAGAAGTGAATACAGTATTGCATAACCGGACCAACACTAATGCTAATGTATGGATATGGATTCCTAAATCACCTAATTTTTTAAGATAATTTTTTTAAAGATATTTTTAAAAAAAAAGCAACAAAAATTTAAAATTAATTATTATATTGGCTTATAATATTTATTTTTTATTTAAAAATTATTAAAAAATATTTTTAGAACAATTATTTTTTATTAATTATAATTATTTAAATATATTTCGTTAATATATTAAATTTATTTTTCATTTAAATATTTTTTTTTAAATTTATTTTTCTATATTTTTGAGAAAAAAATCGTCGAAATTTTCCATTCTTTTATTTGCAGTATTTGTAGTATTTAATGAATTGTATGGATAATAAATTTGTTTGTATAGATTAATTTGGATTATTCCAAGAAATGGATCAAAGTGAATTGGAAGGCCATTTATTAACCATATAAAAGAGCAATCTAATTTAAGCAAAAGTCAGTTCGGGATCTACGAGATCTCAATGAACGAAGGCGAGCCAATGAGAAGAAGTTAAGAAACGTCTACGAAAGCGATATATCAGCCAAATTTAGTAGTTGATTTAGGCCTAATTATTTTTTAAATCAAATTTTCAAGATATTTTATTCAATTATTTTATTATTAAATTATTTTATCGAAATATTAAATTCATTGATAATAATATTGTTTTTAATATTTAATATTTTTTAATATTTTTATTGATATTTATATTATATAAATTTTTTATATTATGTGAATGTTGTTTTTTGAATGAAATTAGTGGTTTTTTGAATTTTTTGCTATCGTTTCTTATTCATTATCTTATGATTATTTCTGATTTCATCGAATCGCCAAAGCGAAACGTTTTTAATAAAGTTTATTAAAGTTATCATCTTATCAGAGATTCACTTGAGAAAAATTTGGAGAATATAGTGCGTTATCAGCAATAATACGGATTTGGTTTATTTGTTTTGGTAAAATTTTTAATTTTAAGATTTTTTCTACTCATTTTTTCCTTGACTTTCCGTCAAAATGTTTGCATTTTCCTTGTTCAATTCTTATCGATTTTATAAGGACAATTAATTAAGTCTATAAGTTTATAAGGACACTTAATAAAAAATCTAAATTTTCTATTTTATCATTTTCATTCATTTTTATATTCACTTTTATATATTCATATATTCATTTTTATCATTCTTTTAATCTTTTTTATTCTGCTATAACTTCTATCATTCTTGATTTTTATTATCTATTTTTGATATTAAACTTTTCCAGTGGCCATGAAAAATTGCGTTAGAGGTTTTATCACAAATTTTTTATAACATCATCGACATCAAATAATAAATTTCTCAATTTTCGGCTAATATATTTGTGGCGAAAAAATGAAAATGAAATCTTCGCATATCTCAGATGGCTATTACTTATATCGATAAGGTGATATATGCTCGAGCAATTGCCTAAATTCTTTTTCTTCTAATAATTCTCACCATTACTGGTTATGGTGGTTCCAACGGCTATAAATATACGACGCTTCCAAACGGCGTGGTCTGATGCCATCGTCGGCAGTAATTGTCTAAATGAATTATTTTTTACGATTAATTACTCTATCGAAAGGAAAAGCTAATACTTTAAGTATTTAATAATTGACAATCTTTATATCCATTATTCAAATTATTTCACGTTAAATTCGGCTGCTAGAATTTTTTCCTAGGAACTTATTTATAAGCAGAAATATAGATGTGTTCTCAGCGTTGCTTGGCAAAGTGAATGCACCTTGGCAAAGTACATGCACCAATAATTGCTCCACACAAATCAGTCAATGTGTATGAATTATCAAAAATTATCAAAATCATCAATTTAGAACATCTCTTTTTTCATTTGCCTGAAATAATTTTCGAACACACCGAAGGCTCTAATATTCATATATGAATAATAATACATTCATCTATGAACTAATTCTATTATTGTTGCAGAAAAGAACTGGTTTCGGAAAAACTGACTGCTGGTTTCTTTCTCTTGCAAATGGTAATAATATAGGAATTAACGATTGAAATGGGAAAGATTCTTGCTTATTATTATTATTCTATTATTCTTACTTACTATTCTTTTTCTAACAGCTCTCACATTACTGGTCAGACTGACTCCGCTGACTACAAAAGTAAGACGTCTCCAAGTAGAACCATCGCTAGTAGTAGTAGAAGCCATTCCTTTTTCCATCGTCCATATATCGATATAAGTCCATATATTATTATTATTTTTAATATTATTATAGCTTTATATTACTGTTATTATTATTGCTATTCTTATTATTACTATTATTATTGTTATCATTACTGTTATTATTATAATATGAATTATCTATTTTAGCTAATCTAAATATATAATTTTAAATAATTTTATAATATGATTTTCATATAATTTTAACAATCTTTAATGAAATGATAATTCTAATCTGAATATTTTCATTCCATTCCGATATTTATCTATATTTATAAGAAATTAGTTAATACGATGAATTGTAGTTTATTGTCTGAAAATATTTATTAATTGTTATTAATTCGCTGGATAAGAATATATTTGAATTGGTTATCAGATTAATAAAGCGATATAGAATCATATAGAAGCGACTTATAATTTCAGCGTAATTCCAAATATTTATGGGAATTTATTTTTTTTCTATTTTTTTCATTTATTATCAATGAATTTTTTTCGATATTTTTATTCATTTTTTTCAATTTTTAAGTATAAAAATTTGATTCTTTTTTTTTGTGAAAAAAATTTATCTATTTTTGATGAAAAAAATAAATATATATTTATATATAATTGAAAAATGAAATTTATTTTGAATTATCAAAATAATAATTTTTATAAATTCAATTTGAAAAATTTAGTATGAAAATTTTTCAAAATTTTTTTTTAAATAATTTTTTTAATTTATTCAAATATTCAGTTGGCTTATTTTCGCTTAAATTGCTTATCATTTCTGATTTGGTTGATTCTTTTGGCTATTAAAAATAAGATTTCATCGTTAGGGGAATAAAATTATAGGAGAGATCCTCAGGAATTTTTTTAGTTTCTCAGATCTTTTAAAGAAATATTTCATTAGTCAATTAATTGCTTTTTGTTTACTGGCTATTACTAATATTTTTTGCATTTTAGTGATATTATTCTGTAATATTTATAAACAAGGAAAATTTTTTTTTTTTCATAAATGGTGAACGTTTTTTACTGATCGAATTCAGCATTTCTCGTATTCATATTTGCTTTTCATAATGGCTCATATAAACGATATTTTTTTGGATTTACAACAATTTTAGCACCAAAAGCTCGAATTCAGTAGCTTAAATTTTCCTCTTGAAAACTAAAATAAAATAATAAATAAAATAATATGAAATTTTCTAAAACTCACTTAATCGTTGATGTTGGTTCATTGCCAAATTATCATCGTGGAAATTTTGATATTCATTTTTGTGAAATTTATCTTGGACTTTTTTTCTATATTAAGATAAAATAATGAAAGAATGATAAGATATGACTAGTGATAAAAAGTGATAATTTATTCTTCTCAAAAGCAGTAATGTTTTGATATCGTAATTAATAATATTTGAGAATTAACTTATTCTCATATATTTGTAAATTCATAATGAAATTTTTTAGATTTTATTGTTTTTTTAGAATTTTTTTTTGGTAATAATTTTATTAATTTTAATTTCGTAATTTGCATAAAAGTTTATCCTATTTTATTTTTATTTTTCGGTGGTTATTTTTTTTATTATATTTATAACAGTTCGAAATATTTTCAATTTTAACCTCAAATACTTTTTTTTTAATGTTTTTTCTATGTAATCAATTAATTAAATTTTATGCGTGTCAAATATATAAAATTATTTGGCTTATATCAGTTGAATTTAAGTGACTATATAGTGGCATTGGTTTTTTTGCCAATAATGATTAGTATTTATAAAAAGCATTTGAAAAAATGATAAGATTTGATTAGTGATAAGGTTTGATCAAATTATATATAAAAGATTTTCGTAATTATTATAATTTTTATTTCTGAACCGTATTGATTCCGTGCTTTTAAATTTTATATTTATATTTCATTTGCTTTCGAAGTAAAGAGGATAAGAATTAGTGAAAAATTAAAGTGAAGTGGGATAAAATTGCTCGCTCAATAAGGAGCTTATAAATTTCTAAAATTGCTTTTAAATCCACGCATTCATAGGCTTAAGAGGATTCACCTGAAAATGGCGTTGCGCTTTATCAAATGTCTATGCAAATTTTTTATCAATAGAAGAGTAATTTATCGTAGTAATTTAAATACTATCGATGTGTCAAAGAATATTCTTAAAGATAATTTCAATTAAGAGGAAGTACCATGTTTTACTAGCTAAATCGAAAGTTTATTAGGTTTAATAAAAAATTGGAAAATAGGTATTTTGTGGTTCGTTGTGTGGTTTACCGATGTTTATAAAAATGTACAAGAGAGTCCATGAAGGAAACAAGGTTTTTTTTTCAGCTACCAAATTTCTTATTTTCAGAATTATGGTGGATTTCTATCGATCGCCAAATATTTTCTGGCATTTTGTCATAGTTCCTTTACTAGTTTTGAATTTTGTAAGTCTTCATATTTATTAGTTTTTTTTTTTCATAAATTACAATTTCTAATTAGTCATCAACGGTTTTATTTATTTATTTGGTTGCATTTTGCAATTTTTGGTTTTGCTGGGCTCAATTTTTTATTATTAATAGGTTCCTTTTAGAAAAATTTAATTAGCTTTTGAATATAGGTGCAATTTCACCATGAAATTTACATCTATTTGGTCTAAGTAAAGCATTTCATCACTTCATTATTATCGTTACTTCTATATACACCAAATTTGCACCAAATTTCACCTGAATTTTTATTAAAACTTTTAAAAATTTCCTTTTTTTTGAATAACTGAAAGTATATTTGATTTTTTTAAAAATTTATTTCAGCGAATTATTTTTCAGATTATGATTTATGATGTCGAATTAATTCCCGTTAATTATCTTGGTCCTCTTGGTAAACTCGCTTATAATATTGGTAAAAATTATCCGCAGTTTGCTAAATTTTTAAATTTATTCGCTATAGTTATTCATTTTATCGAAGGATTTTATGCATTATATCTTTGTAGAAAATTGAAATACTCGTTGAATTGTACGATGAAATGGTTTGTGCAAACTGTAATTCTTGGTTTTCCTTCTCTTATATTATTAATAAAGCAAAAACAAAGGAAATTTTTGGACTGAATTCGATTTAAAATTTGTAAATTTAGGCTTATGGAAGCTGCGATTTCTGCATTTAAAATATAACTGCTAAGTCTTTTAATATTAGGTCGTAATGTGCCAAGTAATATCGTTTTATTTTATGAATTTTTTTAATTTTTATTTTTATAACCACATTTTTATGTTTTATTAAAGTTTTTGAAATTGCTATTTTTCTCCGAAAAAGTGGTATTTAAGTTAAATTAAGGAATGAAAAATTTAAAATATTAAATATCGTATAATCGATATTAATTAAATGATTAAATGATAAATAAGTGATAAGAGATTTCGATAAGTGATTTGTTAATTAATTATTTACTTAATTACATTGTTTTATTATTATTATTATTTGGCGCACATTAGTAGATTTCTTTGTAATGGATGAATATTTAAATAAATTTTTAATCATCCTTTCTGATCATTCTTAGCAAAAGAATAACTAATTTTCGGTGGATAAATTCGTAATTAATAATTATTATAATTATTAAAATATTATTATTGTGGAGAAAATAAAATGTTTAACCTAAATCAATGAATTCAACTTTCTTACGATGAAAATGCGTATGTGGGCAAAAATTTGATGATATAAAGCAATAATGATAATAATAAATAATAATTGATAATAAAAATTGTAATAATAATAATAATAATAATTAATAATAATTAATAAAGACGAAAAAAACCGTAAATAAAAATAAAACTTTGGTGTTAATGAAAATAATTCTTAGCACTTTGATAAAAACTGCTTCTTATTATTAGTTACTAATTGTACAAAAGATATTATTAATAACTGATATGATATTTGTAAAAATTTTTGCCAACATATGCATTTTCCGTAAGAAAGTTGAATTTATTGACTTAGGCTACACATCATACTTTCTCCACAATAATAATATTTTCATCTTCCGAATAGTTCGTTTTAAATTTTATTTAGCTATCAGTTTATTGGTTTTTTTTGAAGAGCGCTCATCATCTCGGATTTAATCGGATAAGTCTATATTTGACCTATACTTCGCGAAATTAGTCAGCGATGAAAATACAAATTGGTCGTCGGAACCACTTGGATTTTTAAATGACAGGTTTACTCTTACTGGGAGTGGTACTCCGGTATCAATCTTCCAGATCCATATATTTTATCAATATCACATGTTGTCCACAAATGAAACCAATGAAACTTATTTATAGGATGATATTTTTATTTATAAAAATAAGAAATTTACATTTTAAATAAATTTTTCTCATCTCAAGCATATGATACGATTTTACAAGAAATCGAGAAATATAATATTAACAACGAAGACCTTGCTTTCTACGTTCCGAACAAATTTCCCTTAGCTCTACTTGTAACTTCGTAATTTTTTCTTTGGTCTTTGCTAAAACGACCCTAAATCCATTGGCATTTAAACATTCACGTTGCATCGATATCATTCCACTGATCCAGGTATAGCAAGTAGTAACTTGACCAACCTGCAAATACAATATCGTGTTAAATACTATTTATCTGATCTTAGAGGTATGAATTTGTACTATTATAATAATATACTTGCAGAATGGT